GAATCCGGCAATTCGCACGACTGTTGTCCTACTGAAGTGTGTACGTGAGGGTCTTAAAGAAACAATAGACACTAATCTCATTTAATTGTTGACCAAAGGTCAGAAGCAAGTTACGGAAAACTCTTTAGTTATATATAGAAGATAGGGGGACTTCATTGCCCTGGAGAAGTGGAGGACGCAACATGAAAATGCAGATATATTCTTTCGATGTTTATTTATCTATGTGCCTCCCACTGGGCAGACACGGTGGACGTGAATGCCATACAGTCTGGTCGACAAAAGACGCCAGTGAAAGATAGGAAATAGAGCACATTAAAGATGGGTTCACCGAACCCATGATGGTAGTAATAGTCCAATGTATTGTTTTTCAGAGGAACTTGATTTCTATTTTTTCGTGGGTTATTTGAAGCAGCTCTCGCGCTGAGGGAAGCCACTATACTGTTAACATAATATTAATATTCTTTATGTCCGCATTTCGAGTGTCTTTTTGTCCTACTGGGGTGTCTACGTAAAGGTCCGGACCCTTCTCTGCCAAGCCTGACACAGGTATAATCAAAATGCGCTCTAAATTCCCTATCCCTAAAGGCATTTTATTGTAATGTTACTTAATCTGCTCCTGCTAAAGAGGCTGAAGCAGTATACTGTAGATTTGGACTCGAAGGTGATGTTTTGGACAGAAGCTTCATATAAAGTTCATGATCTTTTACCTGTTAAATTCGTTTTTTGGAGCATTAGTACAGGCTATTTATAACCGAGACTCTTTACATGAAGATACGTTCAAATTTGCATTAACATCCATTATTAGGGCTTTCAAAGGTTTACTTTCCTCTTGGGGCAACAGTGTCCACCTATGACTCTCCTAAGTTGCACCAACAATCTCACCATTTCTTATGTGATTATGACCCATTGCCACGAATAGTACCTAGTACTCGGCGCTGGCAAATAATTAAGATATTTATGAAAAGCCTAATTCAGATTGGGCTCGAAATGCTTCGCCTGACTTAGTTTTGGTATTGGGATTCGCACTAATCAGTTGTTTTAATTGTCTTGATTAAAGGCAAATTGTGATGGGAAGCAAATAGGAAATTTAGGAAGCTCACAAAAATGGTGGGTCACAGTGAGATAGGAGTGCTTGATAGGGAATTAAAAGTGAATATGACCGACAAAATGAATATTTAGAGAGGCTGGGCAGCAGGGCGTCGCTTTAAGTCAATAAGAGGATCATATTGTAGTCACTAGAAAGGGGCCAAGGAGGGAGAGTTGTCGGAAGATTAGGTCCTATCGCCCCGTCCTCACTGTCTCGCGTCGCGTCGCGGAGGCGTGTGGACGCGTGTTGTCACCATGTCACTGCACGGTAGGGGACGCGTGCTGAATCGGCCTTGGGCCAAGGGAACCTAAATGCCACCCAGCACGTCTCGAGACAGTGGCACACTGCGTCCTCACGCCTCCTTACACCACGCAAGAGAGTAACGACGAGGCGACCTGAAGTAGTTGGCGGACCCCTTCCTCTCCCTGGTCCTTTGTTATGACTAGAACCTGACCCTCAACGCCTCCCTCCCCTTCTATATGCTTCTGACGTGAATAAATTTGCGAAGCACTCGACAAACAGACAGTTTGGAAATGGCTGCATTACCCTCTGATTAGTAGCAGATACAAAAAACATCATTCGAATATGTGTACCCATTTTAGGAGTACTTTTCAAATGGCGATGTTTAACATAGCTCAGTAGACTGAGATTTCCAGAGATGTGGGATCTTGGTTTTGCACTGGTAGATTAATCAAAGTTAAAGCATCATAAACTCCAACTGGTTGGAGAATCAGCTTCGGCATATCTTATTTGCGGCATATCTGTTAGTTTGATTGCGGCAGAGTGTTACATTTTATTTGAAATTAGCTGTCATTGACTGAAGTTAATTTTTTGTCTCATTGATTACGTCCTTAGTTTCGCCGAGGTCCCTAACCAAGAGCACGAAATCGTGGAAGCACAACCTCCCAATGACCAATTGCAAAACTCGAAGCAAACAGAGCCCTGCCAAACTGAAACTACCCGACAGCCGCTGACGTCGGAGCATCAGCATGCTTTGCAAATTCAGCAGACTGTTTGTCAATCACAGAAACCACTCGGGTTATATGTGGACGGCTTCAGCGCTGCAATCACCTCGGAGAACTTGAAGACTCACTTTCAACAGTTTGGTGAGGTGCTCGAGGTGGATATGTCTGTAGATGACTCAACAAACGTGCCCAGTGGAAATGCCTACATTACACTGCAACCGACAGTAGATCCCAACCAAATCCTCGAAACAGAGCACGTTGTATGCGGAGTGTCGATCAACGTTGAGGAGTGTTATTCATCCAGCGAATCTCATAGTAACTCAGAATGGTGAGGATGCAAGAGAGAGAACTGCTAGCTGTTAGGCCAACTTATGGCATATGCACACGATCACACATAGAAATATTTAATGGCTGACTGGAATCCTGGTACACATGTTCATTTACTGTTCAAGCTCTTGGTCTTACAGTGCTTTTTTGGGCAATAGACACATGATATTTTGCATTCACAAATGAAGGGACCAGCGCAGTGCCTTCCCAGAAGCCCATGGTATTGCATGTGAATGGCTTGAGCACTAAAATATCTACCGCTAACTTGAGGAATCACTTCGTAAGATTTGGTGAGGTGCCCCATTTACATATATTACTGATGACTCAACAAACGGAGACAGTAAATATGGGGAAATATTACATTGCGGCGAGCAGTGGATCCCAGCCAAATCTTCAAATCAAAGCATACTGTATGCGTAGACCATAATAATGTTGAGGAGTGTTGTTCATCCGAATTTTCAGAAGAATATCAAGAAGGGTGGGTTTTTAAGTGGTACGCTAGCTACTTGATATGCCACATTAGCAATAACCTGTGCAATACAAAAATCAATGTACATTTGCATTTGTCCTTA